CACAGAAACCATCTTTTAGTAGCACATGTGTCAACACCTTGCAAGATAGTGTCCTCAGATCAAGATTTTGGGCACTCCTGTATTAGAGTCAATAACTACCTGCAAGGTATCATAGCTAGTAATGGTAATGTCTTGATGAGGCCAGGGTCTGCATGTGTTCACATCCTGAGCTCTCACCTTACAGATACCTTGAAAGTGTGGATATTGCCTCTGGCCAGTATAAGTCTTATATTGCCAACTCAAGTAGAAGAGTTCCTGTTTCTAACATTTTATGACGTTTTTACAATCTGAATGTGGTACCTAAAATGGTTTTGGCTTGGCTCAGTGGCATGTCTGACTACATAAGTAAAGATATATTATTCAGCCATAAATAAATTGTTTAGGATGAACCATAGGCTGGGGCATAGCTCAATAGTACAGCATCTGCCTATCATGGGCAGGTCATGGGTTTGTTCCCAAGCACTGGGGGAGGAAAAAAAAATTAGCCTTGTGAAATCATTTAGGTTCCCCTAGGACTGTTCAGAAAGTACAAACCAAACTTGAGCACTTTCCACATGATTTTCAGAGTAGTCAATGATGTGATGAATTGGATTTATTAGCATGTTGTCCACCATTTGAGGGAAGGTTTCCTTCTGTGTCATTATTTAAACCTGCACATCCAGTGCATAGCCATTAAATTTAAATTAGCTAAGATAAAATTTAAAACTTAGCTAAGCAGTCACACTAGCCACATTTAAAGTACTCAATGAACATATGCCATTCATGGCTACAATATTGAAGAGCACAAATGTAGACATTGACATCATTACAGAAAGTTTTGTTGGATAATGTGGAGTCATTAACACAGCCAGCCAGCACAGGAGGTCATCCATCTGTCTGTATCTACACTGCTACCTTGTCATTTCACATATTTCTCCCTGCCTGGGTCCTAAGTTGTGATGCTCTTATCTGGCTTGTCAAACTCCCTGGTTTTAAAAAAATCAGAGTTAACATATACTCTCTATGACACTCCTTACTCCTAAATAACTTTGAGTTATCCTGAAACACCTCTGTGTGATGTACTATGTCAAATTCCGAAGCCATCCTGTCAGTAGTTATCTTCATACTAGGTTAAGGAGAGCATCAGGACCATATGGATGCTCAGGAATTTCCACTTCAACCAGAAAGAGTTCCCTTTTCCCATATCAAATCAGCTTTTTGGTTCAAGGATTCCTAATGATGTAGAATGTTAGTTGCTATTAGTATGTTACCAAACAAGGAAACATACTCTATGATAGTCATCAAGGTGTGATTTGGAAGGTAAACAAACTAAAAAGAATTAATAGCATTGTAAGACCCCTGAAAAGTTAGCCTTGCACTGTATGTACACCAGAAGGTGGGATAAAACCTTGAATGACTGGGGAAAACCAAAAAGAAGTTAGCCTCTTCGTTCTTTGTATTGAAATGCAGTATACTGCCTAACTTTTCAGAAGATTTGTACTTTTTTTTTTTTTAAGTCCAACAAAGGAGGCATTTGCCTAGAATATACTTACATTAGCTAGTCTTACATTCTTGCACATATTTTTCTTCTCCCTAATAACATGCCTATATGTTTGATAGCATTCTATATTTTTCTAACATTCTTGTTTCAGATATTCTTTTTTTTTTTTTTAGTTGTAGATGGACACAATATCTTTATTTTTATTTATTTATTTATTTTTATGTAGTGTTGAGGATCGAACCCAGGGCCTCACGTATGCAAGGCAAGCATTCTACCACTGAGCTACAACCCCAGCCCTCAAATATTCTTTAAAGCGTCAGGTGTTGAATAGCCAACCCTAGTACCTATGTCCATTGCAAAGTAAACATTGAGGTGTTGCCGTCATTTTTACCCTCCATGTCTCACTAGAAAGCTAACAATTATTTACATATTCTTAAAGCTATATGGAATTACAACTTTTGAGCATCTAATTCAACATCCTTAGAAAATGTTCCTAATTTTTCTCTTCTCCAGAAGCTCTTCATATTTAACTCCCACCAGATAATTAATTCTACTAGGTGATCCTTTCCCTCCTAGGATCCTAATAAAATTGTTTCCTAAACTGACCCTCAAAATCTGGGGATATAGCTCAGTTGGCAGAGTGCTTGCCTCGCATGCATAAGGCCCTGGATTCAATTCTAAGCACCACAGACACAAAACAAAACAAAAACCTGACCCATGAGTCATCCTGATTTTTAGTATATTCTTGAGAAAACACCCAATAGGTGAGGTAATCCACATACAGTTTTACAAGAAGAAGGATATTCCCCCAAAATTGCATCATCTAGCCAACCAGTGTATAAAGCAACCCACCTGGGGCAAGCAGACGTACCCTTCCAGCAACAAAGATGCTATGAATTTGTTGAGGCAAACACATCTCTCTTCCTGCTAATATTAAAACCACTCAAGATTAAAACTTCATTAACTGCCCTCTTCCAGAAACCTAATCTGCAGGACATCTCTTCACTTTCCCTGCCTTTTGGAGATTTGTCACCAGACCCTACCAGAGGGCCTAACACTGGGTCTCTGACTTCCCATCTCACCTGGGACTCACTGCCACATTTTACTGATATTGGCTATTTTTCCCTTACTTTTAACATCTGATGGGAAGCATCCAGTTCTTGTAGAAACTTCACTTTCTGCATCTAGTAGTCAGTAGTAACCCCAAGGGTTAGAGATCAAGCTCTAATTTCAGACAACAACCCAAAATTAGTCATGGATACTATATCTATGATGTAAGCTCTTATACAGATCTCATAGAACAGTGCCTAGCAGAGTTAAGCACAATTTATTTGCTATCATTTATTAGCAGCATATCACTTATAAAAAGCAAAATGGCCAAAGTTAATTTATTATAAAATACTTAAAAAGTGATAAGAAGCCTTGTTATGTTTTGGGGAGTATTGCATTTTAAAAAAAAAATGTGTTTTAAGTTTGATTAAAGAATTGTAAATATTGGATAATAAATATTGAATTGATACATATTGGACAAGTTAGTTGTAAGATTAGTCAATTATTTAACAAAATAGCTATTTTGTTCGTTGAGAAGCCAGGGATAACATTGATTCTACTCTAATAATCATTCTTGTCGTATGTATCCCCATTCTTCAGCAACTTTTACATCTGTGTTTGGAAGAAAAAAAAATAAGAAAATCAAAGAATTGGAGAGTTTGATATTTTAATCAAAACTATAAGGAATAATTGATTTGTATGAATACATCATCTTGTCATAACTTGAATTCTTTTTCAAGTAAGGTAGCCATCATCATCAAGTATTAATTGATCTCCAACTGTGGTATAGGAATATTTGCTCTATGCAAATCTGTGTTTAATTATAAAACCTATTATTTTTTATTAAGTAATGGGTTCCTGAATTTAAATAATAGATTTAAAAGATGATATGAATTGGCCAGTCATAGTGGCAATCCCTGTATTCTCAGCAACTTAGCAAGACCCAGTCTCAAAATGAAAAATAAAAAGGGTCAGGGATGTGGCTAAGCAACAGAGTATTCAATCCCCAGTACCAAAATGTGTGTGTGTGTGTGTGTGTGTGTGTGTATCCACATCCATATACGCTTGTATGTATATGAATCTTGTAGTAAAAGAATTACCACACACTAATGTGATATATTGCACTCAGAAACAAAAAAAGACCTTGGGATTTCCAACTTGAATATTGGACAAGTTGTAAGATTAGTGATAATCAGGAGAATAGGGAAAGTTTTTTGAGGAATGATAATGAGGTATGTTTCAGGTAGCAATTCTCAAGGTGGGATGGGAGCATATTAAAATATTGGGATGAGGAACTATTAATATTAAAAAGTTGAAAAATCTGTTTTGAATAAAGTGAATAGCCACATGTTGGTGACTAGTGATAATGTAACATTGCAGATTCTTGCTGTTTCTGAATCAAGCTGTACTGGACTCTGAAGTAGATACTTTGATGCAGTGTCTTACATAACCTCACTATAGGGTTGTTAGTCATCACCCCCCCCCCATCCCTCTGCTAACCCTGATTGCCATTACTGATTTTAAAAAGTTTGGGCCACTTGGATTTAAATCTGGGTCTCCTGTGCCAGAGCCTCAATTCTTATTCCTGGCTACCTGGGAATAATAGTTGTACTTTTATGTATCTGGCCTTCTTAGTGCCTTATTAAAATATTGGAATAATATGTAAACCATATATTTGTTTATAAAAGTAAATGACATATTTGTGCTTTTAACTTTAACCCTACTTCATCACACAAAATTAGATTTTTCTGTCTACATAACATGACAAATGTAGTCTGTCACACCTCTCCCCCTGGCATACCTGCTAACAATACCATGCAGGGTAATAGATTTAGGACTTTCAGGTGTCTGTTAATTTATCAAGTGCTTTGAAGCTGCAGTGATTTAAAGAAAGCAAAGTGTCAAGGGGCATTGCTCAAAATATTTCTCACAAGTCTGATGACTGATTTAAATTCCTTTTGTGTAATTGATAAATGTCTAATGAAAGAGTAAAGTTTGTATTATACTATACCATGCCTAGGCTTCCAAAATAAGCCAATTTCCAAGGTCTTTGACTAGAAAATGCTCATCTTAAGTATCCAGAAAAGTCATCAGAGTAGTTACCAAAAGTAATATAATATGCTTGTCTTGATTATTATTTGTGTCCTTAGGGAGTTGTTACATTGGTTAGCTAGAGAAGACTTTATTAGACTAAATACAAATTCTAGAGAACATTAGAAGAATGAAGGAAAAAGAATTTAAAGGATTTTCCCTCTTAAACACAGAAATTATATATATTTCTTTTTAGACCAAAGAATTTTAGGTAGCCAGTTACTGATCCTCTCCACAAACCACTCCAACCTACCACCTTTATATGGGAAATCCAGTGTCATTTCATGGTAGTATGGGGAAAACTTAAATTGATTTTTTAGTGTATGTGTGTTTATCTGTCTAACTTCTAACTTCTGATATTTTCATTGTTGTCCCATAGATACGAAATGTGGAAACAAATCAGTGTCTAGATAACATGGCCAGAAAAGAGAATGAAAAAGTTGGAATTTTTAATTGTCATGGTATGGGAGGCAATCAGGTGAGTATCTTAATATTAACTTATAAAAAGGAGAATTTTTTTAAGTCTGTTTTTACTTTGCCCTTTTTATCTGTGACATCATTCAGGAAATATTTTCCTGTAACAGGCCCTTTGTGAGAACTATATTAACATTGCTGAACACAAAATTTATTTTGTGCTTTCTAGTGAAATTATACTTCCTGACAGCACACTTAGTGTATGCAGAGAACTAAGGCCATTTTTACTTTTTTTCTGTATAAACCTGGTGGTAGCTTTTATGAGTCATTTAAGTCTCTATTAATTCAATAAAATGAAGAATTGTGTATCTTAGAATATTTTTTTCCCTCCTAGGTTATTGAGTATATGAAATACTGGCTAATTTTTTTTTTTTGTTATTAAAGCTTACATGTTTCCATTTTGTTTTCCAGGTTTTCTCTTATACTGCCAATAAAGAAATTAGAACAGATGATCTTTGCTTAGATGTTTCCAAACTTAATGGCCCAGTTACCATGCTCAAGTGCCATCACCTAAAAGGCAACCAGCTCTGGGAGTATGACCCAGTGGTAAGTTACCTGTCCAGTAGCCCATAGGAATAAAATAATTAGACTGTCACTGTCATTGAGTATGTTTATATTCTTCATAGCTACAATGACTAATATCAACTAATATGGTTAATATGGCCATTGGAAATGGCCTGAATAGTCTCTTCTGGAATGATGTTTGGTGCATGCTACTGCTCTTTTGGCTGTGCCTGCCCCATGCATTGAAGGATACAGAGTATCTCTGGCATGAGGCAGAAAGTGCCAGTGGCACAGTCATTGTGACAACCAAAACTTTTTTTTTTAATCATTGGAGAACTTAATTAAATTTTTTTTCTTTTAATTAGTTATACATGACAGTAGAGTATACTTTGATACATCATATATAGCAGTGTATAATTTCTCATTCTCTGATTATATATGATGTAGAATCCCACTAGTCTGAAAAACCTCCCACTTTTAAGTTCACTGAAAAATTACAGTGTGTTAATTAGGCAATATGAAAACTACTTATAGTAGCTTAAATAAATAGGCATTTATTTTTCTTATGTAAATCTGGAGGTCAGTGGTTTCGGGTATAGATTCAATGGGACATTGGTGTCAGGGATAGCATAACTATAGTATTATCAACTTTCTATATGGCCAGAAGATGGTTTCTGAAGCTCTTATTGTCACATCTCAACTCAAAGTAGAAAGAGAAGGGAAGAGGAAGTGTTTCGCTACCACATATGTCGCTCTTACTCAGGAAAGCAAAAGCTTTTTTTGCAACCCTCTTAGCAAACTCTGCTTATTTCTTTTGGGCCAGAACTTTATCCCATAGTGACCCCCAGCTCAGTGACAAGGAAGAACAGAAAACCAAGCATTTGGTTTTCTAGTCTTTATAGTATGAGATTGCCAAGTGACAAAGATTGGGAATGACTGTTGTCTAGCTATCCTACACAGTCTACCACAACAGGTATTTGAAAAGTAAATATTTGCTTAGAAATATAAGAGGCTGAGATGGGGTATTTACAAAGAACTGGTTGTTGAGTGTAAAGTTTTAAAACTTATGAATCACTTTGCAGAGTTTTTTCCTGAGATTAAAAATTCAATGTCATAGGCTAGTTTCTCCCAGAAGCAGTCTGTAAAATAAAATTTAGTATTCAGATGTTTATTAGAGGTCACTTTTTGAATCAATACCTGTGAAAAGGAAAGGGAGAAGGCAAAATTGGACAGAAGGAGAAGTCAAGCTGCAGTACTGGTCCACCTCCAGCAGCCTGAGCTGACTGTACTAGGGAGCTCTAGAGGGGAACAATCCATCAGAATTATCCTGCTTCTAGCTGTTGAAAACATAACAAATTAGAGAGAGAACAAAATATTTATATCAGTAATTTATAAATGTAAACTCAAAATAATGAAATCTTGGATTTCAAAGGAACCCTAGAAATAAAATCCAGGACACTGTTTTGTGTGAGTAGAAACTGAAGCCCAGAATGGAACTCAGTTGCCCAAGGTCACAGAACAGGTAATGGTATAAACTAGATCTCAAACCTGGGATTCTTGATTTTTGGTCTAGGATTTTTTATATAATACCATGGTGTCTTTAATTAAATTTCTATATTTATATATCTTTAAATCTTGTTTATATTATATATTACATAAATTTCATAATGTAACACCATCCTCTTTTGCTTTGACTACTTACAGTTGTCCCTTCTAGACTACAGTGTGGCATGAAACCCCATTATATCTAGGGATCAGGGCAGGAGGTGGGCAAATTATTTTTTCTAGCTTATATGTAGACTTTTTGTAAAAATTAATTATAACTTTTATCCTCTTCAAAGATTAAAGGTAGATATTTGTCACTTGCCTGTCTAGTTACCTTAATTGAGCTTTCTCTGTGTGGAGTCTACTCTGTATTAGCTGGGTTTTCTGTTGAGTCCTGAGATGACAAAGCTCACAGTGTCACTATCCACAGAGCTCTTCACCCGATGTCAGTTACCAGAGCCTTATTTGGAACAAGATTCTTCACCAGAGTCCAGGTCTCTGGGGGGCTGTTCAACTGAATTATGAGAATTTTATACTGTTGTTAAACAGTTAAATAATCAGTACCAAACAGTAACCCAATTTGTTTCAAGTTTATTTGAATTAATCTAGATAAATGAAATGCACATTTTTAGAAATTGGGATTTGAAAAAGAGAATTATCCAACCAAATTTTTATTGTACTTAAATTTCTTTCTGTTTTTAATAATATTGGCCATGGGCCTGAGGAAGAATGCCAGTAGAACAAGTTTTGCAGGGAGTTTTGGAATGTTTGAGGTTTTTTTTTTTTTTGTAGTACATTATATTATACATAATAGTGGAGTTCATTATGACATATTCATACATGTACATAATTTGTTCCATTTTATTCCCCAATACTTCCCCTTTCCCTCACCTTTTTTCTCCCTTCAACCTCCCTTCTCTATTCTACTGGTCTCTCTCCTATTTTTGTGAGATCCCTCCCTCTTTTTTTTTTTTTTTTTCTATTTCTTTTTTCTGTCTAGCTTCTCGCATATGATAAAATATTCAATCCTTGACTTTGTGAGTTTGGCTTATTTCACTTAGCATAATGTTCTTTAATTCCATCTATTTACCAGCAAATGACATAATTTCAGTCTTCTTTATGGCTGAATAAAATTTCATTGTGTATATATCACATATTCTTTATCCATTCATGTGTAGGTGACACCTAGGCTGGTTCTATAACTTGGCTATTGTGAATTGCACTGCTATAAATATTGATGGTAGGGCTGGGAATATGGCTCAGTGGTATAGCATGCTATGCCTAGTATGTGTGAGGTCCTGAGTTCAATCCCCAACACCACACACACACACACACAAAAAAAAGACAAGACTCAAACACTGATGTGCCTGTATCAATATAGTATGCTAGTTTTAGTTATTTTGGATAAATACCAAAGAGCAGAATAGCTAGGTCATCCCGTGTTTTCATTCCTAGTGTTTTGAGGAATCTCCATTGTGGTTATGCTAATTTTCAGTCTTACCAACATTATACAAGTGTTTCTTTATCCCCACATTCTCACCATCATCTATTATTTATATTCTCTTTTTAAGAATTTTTTTGTTTTAATTAATTACACATGACAGTAGAATGCATTTATGCACTTTGATATATCATACATAGATGACGATTGCCACTCTAACTAAATGAAATGAGATTTCAGTGTAGTTTTAATTTGCATTTTCTTGATTACTCAGGATATTGAACATTTTTTTTTCATATATTTGTTGGCCATTTGCATTTCTTCTTTTGAGAAGTGAGTATTTAGTTCATTCCCTATCAGAAACGTAACTGGCAAAAATTTTCTCTCATTCATAGGCTTCTTTTCATGCTCTTAATTTTTTCCTTTGCTGTGCAGAAGCATTTTAATTTGATGCCATTCCACTTATAGATTCTTATTGTTATTTACTGAGCTTTATTTATTCATCATTTACTGAGTCTTATTAAGGAAGTTGATGCCTGCATTTATATATTGAAATGTTTCCCGTATGTTTTCTTTTAGCAATTGAGAAGTTTCTAATTCCCAGTTCTTGTCCATTTTGAATTGACTTTTGTGCAGGGTGATAGGTAGGGATCTAGTTCATTCTTTTACACATTGATAGAGGCTGTTATGTTAAAAAGGCTCTCTTTTATCAAATATATGGTTTTGGAACCTTTCTCAAAGATCAGATAACTGTATCGTTGTGGATTTGTCTCTGTGTCTTCTATTCCATTGGTCTTTATATCTGGTGTTGTTTTTTTGTTTTGTTTTGTTTTTGTAATACCATAGTGTTTTTGTTCCTATAGCTCTATATTATTATTTGAGATTGAGTATTGTGATGCTTTCACCTTGTTCTTATTGCTTAGAATAGTTTTGACTACTCTGGGTCTTTTATTCTTCCATATGAATTTTAAGACTTTTTTCCTAGTTTTATGAAGAATGTCATTGATTTATTTTTTAAGATATTTATTTTTTTAGTTGTAGTTAGACACAATACCTTTGTTTTATTTATTTATTTTTATGTGGTGCTAAGGATCGAACCCAGGGCCTCACACGCACTAGGCAAGCACTCTACCACTGAGCCACAATCCCAGCCCTGTCATTGATATTTTTTATTATTTTTAATTCTTTTTTAGTTGTTGATGGATATTTATTTTATTCATTTATTTATATGCAGTGCTGAGCATTGAACCCAGTGCTTCACCCCTGTAAGGCACAAGCGCTCTACCACTGAGCTATGATCCCAGCCTGTCATTGGTATTTTGGTGGGAGTTTTATTAAATCTATAAATCACTTTTTTTTAAATAATACAGTCATTTAAAAATAGTATTAATTTTGCCTAAGAACATAGAGGTCTTCCTACCTTCTAATGTCTTCTTTAATTTTTTTCTTCAGTATTCTATAATTTTCGTTGTAGAGATCTTTCACCTCCTTGTTAGATTTAGTCCCTTGTTTTGGTTTAAGGCTATCATGTATGGAATTGTTTTCCTGACTTCTTTTCATTGGGTTCATTATTGGTGTATAGAAAAGCTATTGATTTTTGTATGTTGAATTTGTATCCTGCTGCTTTGCCAAATTTGTTCTTGTTCTGCATTGTTTATGTGACTGCTTTGGCAACAGTGTGCATGCAGAGCTTCAGCAGTCTAGTATGTCGGGCTGCTAGATTGTGTTCATGGCTGCCCAGGGTGTAGCTAGGATATTGTTTTCTAATAAGTACCATTTGTCAAGTTCTTAGTCCGGACTAGATGACACTTTGTGTACATTTTCTCATTGTTTCCTCACAAAAATCCAATGAAGTGAGTATTTTTGCTCCCTTTTTATAGTGAGAATACTGAGTGTCAGAGAGGTTGTTTTGATGATGAGTTACATTAAGTTATGCTTCAGTTGACAAATCCAAAATTCATTCCAGGAATGTCTGACTGCTAAGCCCACCTTATCAGCCAATAAATTACACAGCATCTGTGTGAAAAATTAAAACATCCACTCTTTTTCGGTTCTGTTTTTATGCATTTATAGGAATTCAAAAGTCACTGAACCTAAATCAGTGTGGATAGAGACATCTGCAAATGTATACCATCTTTTGCCAGTTCTCACTTTGTTTTAACACAAGAATAGTGAATGACTAGAAGCCAAAATAGTTGTTATATAATCATTACATTTTGTTTTGACATCGGTACAAAGGAAACACTTCATAAAAATGAGATGTTCCAGATAAAATAATTATTTTAAAATTGTCAGCGAACCAAATAAATATGTTTGTTGATGTTCCACCTTTCCTTAAAGTCATTTGAACTTATAAAATAACTTGAAGTTTATGCCTGCCACAACTATTCTGAAGACCTTAATGTGACCAGAGTACATTATCAGAGTCTGGATCATTTTAACTGTGTATCTGTTAACTCTCTTTCCTGCCTTTTTGAAATTATCCTAAAAATCAACAAGATAATATCAATTACAAAATGTAAATGAGTAGATACAAAGATGCATAGCTTTATCTGTCAGCCATTTGTTAAGTACCTTCTTTGTAAGATATTATATAAACTTTGTTGTCTCAACCTCACAGAATCTGCTCAAAATATGTAATCTACATTTTAAAAAGGAGGAAGGCCAAGTTACCCAGGCTATGAACCAAACTAACTCCAAGTTCCTGTGTTGTTCTTGTGTACCACACCACCTGCCTTAACCACAAGGCTAGTCTTTTCTTGGATTGAATATAACACAGACTTAAGATTGCTTGTACCAAATCGTAGCCATCCCAGTGTTCATACAACTTTAATTCCGCAAAAGGACCTAAATTTCTAAAGCTTGAGATTTGGAATCACAGAATTTACAGGAACAGCCCTATCACAGGGAAATGAAAAAACTTTGAAATTGCTGTTTGGAAATAGGTTGGAGGATCCTAAATTAGGAACCAATCTGGTCTTCCTTTCTTTCATTTCTTTCATTTTTTAGGGAAACCATAGTGCACACTCACAAAAAGAGAAGTTTCTCACAGTGTTACGGAGCTTATGCCAGAATTAGGGCTTAGAATTAGGTCATCTTCCTGCAGGTCAATTGTGCCCCACTGAACCAAATGGATTTTCTCTCCCACTTAGCTCTTAATGCATCTTTAAATATGCACATTTTCTCTGTTGTCTTTTAAATAATTTATACTGCCCACCAAAAATCTTTTCTGCAGACAAATTTAGTAATCACCAAAATGATAGTTGAAGCTGGATGTGATGGTACACACCTGTAATCCTAGCAACTGGGGATGCTAAAGCAGGATAGCAAATTTGAAGCCAGCTTTATCAACTTAGGCCCTAAGCAACTTAACAAGACTGTCTCAAAATAAAATAGGACGAGGGAAGTAGCTTAGTGATTGAGCACCCGTGGGTTCAATCCCCAGTACCAAGAAAGGGGGGGGGGGTGATGTTTTCCTTTCCACTTTCATGTTAAGATTTCTTTTTTTTTTTCCCCCTGTTATTTTCAGAAATTAACCCTGCAGCATGTGAACAGTAATCAGTGCCTGGATAAAGCCACGGAAGAGGACAGCCAGGTGCCCAGCATTAGAGACTGCAGTGGAAGCCGGTCCCAGCAGTGGCTTCTTCGAAATGTCACCCTTCCAGAAATATTCTGAGACCAAATTTTTAAAAAAAGAAAAAAATAAGGATTGACTGGGCTACCTCAGCATACGTTTCTGCCACATTCTTAAGTAGCAAAAAAGGAAAAGTGCTTTCCTCCTCTGCGGGATGTAAGATTTATCAGCCATTAAAACTCAGACTCCTCTAGCTTTTCACTAGCTGTGAACCAGCCTTCCTGTCCAAGGACGTGAAACTGCATAGTAGTGAGACTGTGCACACTGATGTTTACAAGATTGAAAGAGTCTTTCATCAAGAATCATGGAAAAGAATATTCAGACAGTGAAACAGTCAACAAAATGTGCTTTCTGGAGAGCTGCACCTTTTATGGTTTGCTTGCACATCAGTAATTTCTGCTGAGTGTGCTGTCAATGAAGAGATTACCAAGATTTTTTTCCTAATTAGAACTGGTAGCCAGTATATTAAACATTGACATAAAAGCAAATGAAAAAGAACTGAAACCAGATACAGAATCATGAAAACAACATTTTTACATTAAAAAAAAAACTATATTTAACAGGGTTTAAACAAAATTAAAACAGAACTATGAGAAGTACAATTTGTTATAGTATAGTATCAAATTTCTATATAGATTTTATACCTCAGTGGGGAAAAATAACTGATTCCAATGACGTTCATTTAATTTTCATCTGTGATAGTCATGGATGCTTTTATTTTCCTTGGGGTGCTGAAAATGAGCTGGGAGAAAAAGCTCTTTGAACATAGTTTTAATTTCTTTCTACAATATTTTTATTTGATTTGTGGGCTGTTGGAATTGTGACTTTTAATTGCCTTCTAAAAAATGGAGAATTAACATGATGCCTGGTCTCAACTGAACAAGTTAGATATCTCAGTTGTTCTTGGGTCAACTGGCTTACAGTCTCGGTCTTCTGTCTGTTTCTCTCCCTCCCTCCCTCCCTCCCTCCCTTTTCTCTCTCATTCTCATTCTCTCTCTCTCTCTCTCTCTCTCTCTCTCTCTCTCTCTCTCTCTCTCTCTCTCTCTCTCTCTCTCTCTCTGTCACACACACACACATACACACACACACACACATTACCACATTTTCACCTTCCTAACTTGATTCAGCTGATTATGCTTAATACCCAAGATTCATACTACTGTACTACAGATTTGTTTTCACAGCAATAAATCTTCAGTTCTTTATGATTCCATTTAACAAAAGGCTTTCAAGGAGTGGTTTATAATTTGGGTATTTGGAGATAATATATTTAATGGTTTTTTTTGGAAAACCTTTTTCACTCCATACTCAGATGTGCTTCATTGTCAAGTGCATATTTAGATTAGATTCTTGAATTGTAATGTTGATCTGCTGCTTTTTTTAAATAAAATTTGACTGAAAATGTTTAATTAGCAGTTTTTAATAAGTTAGCCAAAGAAGTGCAGCTCTTGTTCCATATTACTAGTCCTGCATTTCTTTTTAAATTCCATTTAGGTTAAATTGGTTTTATTTTTCTCTGATTTTTCATACACAAAATCACCTATCAATTAAAAGTTACTTTTTTATTCTCCTAGAAAGAAAACCTCATCGCAACATTTTTTCCTGATATGTAAAACAATTAATTCACGAAAATGCATATATTTTCCTTCCTGTTTTTAAGATTATATTTGATGGTATTCTTTTCTTTGGTTTTCAAAGACTCACTGCAGGCAGTGCTATTTCTAGTGCCTGAGAATTGTTTCTGAAAGTAACATCATTAATGATACTTGCCAAACATGAAGTTTCTTATATCCAATTCAAGTTCATCAACATCAAGCACATGTGGATGCTTTAGGGTGAGGCTGTGATACAGAATGCATAATCTGTCCCCAGGAAATATGAAATGATGCAGGTGCTGGATGGAATCTTTTTTCTATTCCATGAGCTGTGTTAATTCTGTCTTCAGTAGGCCTACCGCTTGAACAAATCAGATGTCTAATCAATAAATTATTTTCATGCTCAGAATTTCAGGTTTTTGTACTTTAGCATAGCTTGGTCTTATTCCTTACTATAAGAAAGCTTAATAACAATGTGATTTAAGGTTTGGTTTGGTTTGCTTTTTATAAGTGGGGGATATGAGTGATTTAATTCATGGGTACTTTTAGAATCTGATAGAAATCCCATTGCCTTTATTTTTCTAATTAAAATATTCCTAAATATTTTGAAAATATAAAAGATTCCTGAATAGTTGTGCCTTACATTGGTTTTATTTGAAATTCAAATGGATCCCTTTTTATCATAGCTGTTTGTAGATTAGAGATGCTAATCTCTCTATTACAAATGAAATTGAGAATGAAAAGAAAAAGCAAGGGATGAATACATACAACTAGTATTTGACTAGTGAAGAATTTTTAAAAAAAATTTTTTTGTGGTTGTAGATGGACAGAATGCCTTTATTTTATTTATTTTATTTTTATGTGCTACTGAGGATCCAACCCAGTGCCTCACACATGCTAGGCAAGCACTCTGCTGCTGAGCTACAGCCTCAGCCCAGTGAAGAATTTTATAAGTGACAATTAAAGATAATTTGAATCTCAGCAAACCTATTCACCCAATCTTAATCTCAGTCCATTGTAATATGTCTGCCTTTCCTAATTGGTATCCCTGAGAAATACCACTTTGTTTACCATTCTGCAAATGTAACACACCATGCAGGCCTTTGTGTCATTTTCCCTGTTCTCCATTTAGCTAAAAAAAATAGGTTTCTTTTTGTAGGCTTTAGTACTCTTATCTTCCACAAATAAATACCAAGAACAAATTAAACTCCAAGGTTTACATGTTTTTCAGAGGAGAAATTCAGAAGGTAGTATTTCTGAAAGTGATAACTGTGAAAGGTGTATACAAAGAGTTACTTTATTTTTCTGCTATTTTCAGGATAAGGCAAATATACAAAACTCGATTGCATATGTATACATTTGAAATAAACAGTTGAAATTAAATTTTAAAATATGCCATTTATAATGAAATATAATTAACAAAGTCAAATATCTAAGAAGAAAGTTGTGGAAGACAAAAGATGTATAAGTCCTCTAACCTGAAAACTAGATAACAGTGCTAAGAAAAACCACACACAATAGATACACTATTGTTATTGATTGGAAGATTGCATAATATTAAGATGTCAGTTTCCCACAAATTGATCTATAGATTCAGTGAAATCAAGATCCCTCTCTAGGCTTTGTAGAAATTGACAAGTGGAAATGCAGTAGATACAGATTGATTAAGATGTAATGTGGAAGAAGGAAAATAAGACTGGAGGACTTGATATTTCCCAAATTTCAAGATTTTTTTCCTCTAAAGTTGCAATAAGTAAGAGTGTGTGATACTAGAGTTAGAATATATCAATAGATAAGAGTCCAGAAATAGACCTATGTATACATGGTCATTTACTTTTCAATAAAAATACCAAGCAAATCAATAGGAAAGGAAAGTTTTTCCTATTGAAACTGAGTAGTGGCTATTTGTACAGTAAAAATTTGAACACTGATGCATTCTGTGTACCATACACAATTTTTTGAAAAGGCATTATAGATCTAAGTGTGAAAGACAAAACAATACATTTTGCAGAAGAAAAAAGTATTTTTAAAGACCTTGGGGTTGGACTATTAAATCTAAAGGTAAAAGCTGATAAATTTCATCAAAATTAGATGTTTCTCATCAAAAAGATACTGCTAAAGTGCCATGGCTTAAGAAAATATTAGAACACATATAACCCATCCAGGAAAAAAAAAAAAAAACTTAAAAAAGAAAAAAACATTGTTAACAACCTAATATAAAAATGAGTAGGTGATTTGAATACACACTTTCATAGAAGCCATTCAAATGCTACACAAATAGTATAGGAAAGTATGTTAAACGTTAGTCATCAGAGAATGCAAAATGAAATCACAAGGACATACCAATGCATACCTGTCAAATGGTGATAACAGGGAGTAACTATTAGAATGTAGGATGGCATATAATCACCTTGGGAAAGACTCTGCTAGTTCCTAGGTAAACATATGCTTACCTTGTGACTCAGTAATTACACTTCAACAGTAATAAGTTACTGGATAAATAAAGATAAACGTATACATTAGATACTATTCTAAATTGAAAGAATGAGTTAACTGACAATAGGGATAAAGCTAAAACTTGTTGAACAAGAAAAACTAATTTACTGGGAAAAATAAGAATTTATTGACCTTTATACTGCCACAGTCTGGCTGGGCACAAATGCCGCAGTCTGGCTGGGCACACAATCACGAGCCACCACACAGCTTGTAGATTCAAACAGCAACTCTTTATTCCCGAACTCACACCAGCCGTCTACAATCACGTTCTGGGGAAATCCACGTTCTCTTCCCAAATCCACCTCCACTGGGCTTCTATCTCCAAAATATACTGTCTGAATCCCGTGAGAACTCAAGGGGAACTCAGGCAGCAGGATACGCCCTATTCCCAGCAGGAATAATCTTAAACCTTAAACCTGGAACCTAAACTGGGAACGCCCTAAACACGAAAACCGGGAACACCCTAATCTGCCTTGGTCCTTGAGCAAGGTCACCTACATTCAATGTCACTGCAACATGTCAGCAACATGGGGTACGCTGGCAAGGAAATTGTCATACCTACTTGGCTAATGGCTCCCAGCATTATACTTAAGATACATACATTTTACTTTATGTACATTATACCTCAATAAAGTGCTGGGTAAGAACACACCTTTTTCCCAGAAAGCATTCCCCATGCACACAGCACATTGGAGGTAGAGTTCACACAGATTGTAACTGTAGGATTAAAGCTGGGGAGTCCACAGTCTTGGGAGCAAACAGAATGGCTGGAAGTTGAGGGAGAAAAATCCCAGGTAGTTAGAGGGGCCCCCCAGTCTGCATATAAACTTCTCAAATCTATGGCTGATTAAGTGTACCCAGCATGGAACTCCAAAAAGTCAAGAAGAAAACAACTAAAAGGCAAAAAAAAAAAAAAAAATGAGCAGAGATCTCAGCAATTGCTTCCTCTCTGCATTTCTCCTTCCCTTGGTGTTTTCGCTGGGCCTACCAGTGACCTTCATCTTGTCCTTGCTTGTACTTCCCCTCCAGAGTTGGGCAAAGTGGAGCTGCCCTTGAGGCCAATTCCCAGAGGGCTCCTTTACCACCTTACTTGGTGCTTAGAAACTAGGATCCTCTCGACCATGCAGCTTGTATGTATTCATTCTCCTGGGTGGCATTGGCGGGGTGGGGGGTTCTCAGCAAGCCTACCCCAAGCAGATGAAGGACATACTGTGGACCAGAGAAAAGTATCTCTTTCTCCTCCCATTCACAGCTGGGGTCCTTCGCAGTGCAGATTGCCTATGCAGACTGCCTCTTGGACCTGAGGTCTCATCTCATAGGCCTGAACAGCTTGTCATTTTCTGTCCTCAGCCTTGGGCCTTTGCCATATTTCAGTACAGCCAGCAACATCCTGCTGCACTTCTGAAGGAGGGGCTGGTGCAGGGAGGGAGGGTGACACCATCCTTGTTCATAATACTGACTATTGAATGGTCAAATTAGAGGGCCAGCTGTGAGGAGGTAGTTTGGCATCATGGAAAGAGCAGGATTTGAAGCCAACCATATCGCAATGCATGTGTGATAAGACATTACCAATTGTTGCAAAAGCATGTGCTAACACGTTTTTTCAAAAGCATTCTACTTCACTTTGACTTCAAACCAACAGTTAAAATTATATTTAACAATAAAACCCCAGAGACCTTGCTATTTAAATCCAGAACAAAACAAGGATATCTGCTATCACCATTACTGCCTACCAGCCCAGGAAGTTGCAGGCAACGCACTAGGACACAAAACAGAAAGGAGAGGGGGAAATTTCCAGAACAACAATTTGTTCTTATTTGCTGATGGTTGTCATTTGTTTATTATTCACCAAAGACTCAGAAGGTCAAACTCCCTCTCATCATGGAGCTGACATTGTGCGGGGGAAGGAAACAAAAATAAAAGCAAATCAACAATAAAGATTGTGCTATGAAGCCAATGGGAGCAGATGGACAAGGGGAGAGGCCATTCTAGAGCAGTTGACAGTCTACTTGAAGAGGGGACCTTTGATCAGAGCCCCAAAGGCACAAAAGAATAAACCATGGGTCAACAGGGGAGTGTTCCTCATGGGGGAACAGTGAGGGCACAGGCCCTGGGACATGGACAAGGTCAGCAAGCTAGAAGACTGATCAGGCTGTGTGACCAGGCATAGTGAGGAGACAGGGAAGAGTCCAAGACAGTGTTGGGAAGCAGGCAGGAGCCAGCGTAAGTGAGCCCTAGAAACCATAATGAGGACTTGGACTTTAATCTGAGTGTGATAGGAAGGATGGTTTTGAGCCAGGGAGTGGCACGAGCTGACATAAGTTTCAAAAAAGTCACTCTGGCTGCTGTGAGGAGAATCTTCTGTTAGAACTAACAGTGTCAGCAAAGCTCCAGAAAGAGTGCTTTAAGGATCCCATGAATGAGAGGGCTTGGGATGCAGTGGGGGCTGTGGCTGGGCAGAATGGGGCTGTGGATTTTAAAGATAAACCTAACAGGACTGAGGATGCAGCTCAGCAGTAGAGCACCTGCCTAGCATGCCCAAGGCCCTGGGTTTCTCAGCATCACAAAAAGCAAAAGTGAGGCATCACTGATGGATTGACAGGATGTGGATGTGAGAGAAACAAAGGAGTCAAGGATGCTGCTGCAGGTGTTTGCCTAAGAAATGAGGACAAGTGACTGCAATCCCAGAGAGAGGTTAGGATGTCTGCCCTGCTATGGCACCACATGGGCTTGTGCATGTTCTGGCCTGGAGCTCAGGGAAAAAAAAAACAACAAAATATTTCTAGTGATTAGCACATAGAGAGATAATTTTTCTCCAGAAGAGATTATAAACAGATCACCATCCATATCTGATTTAAGTGATGAAATTTTGGGATTTGGAGTTGATAACACTTAGATGAAATTGTTGGACTT